CAATCCACAAAATTCAATCTCTTCTTAAGTTTATTTTTTTTGTGAAATTTAAATTCACGTTTTTAATCTCGTTTTGAGAGAAAGAGATGAGATTTAGTTTAAAAAAAAAGAAACAAAATCTGAGAAAAAAATGTTGAGATCTGAAAAAAAAATTGAGATCTAAAAAAAAAAATTGTTAAAAAAATGAATTCTAGAAAAAAAAATGGACTAAAAAAAAAAATCAAATTATATGAATCAAAAGATAAAAATAATATAGGAATACTGAAAAGGAAATTGGTATTTTTATAAAATTTTTTAAAATATAGCATTTTTATAAAGTGGCATGGTATATATAGTATTTTTTAAATTTTCTCTAGAATTTATTGTTTTACCATTTTTGAAAAGTGGCATAGAGCTTAGCATACGTACCCTCTAAAGGACCGGACTTCAAGTCCGAATTCACATCAATTAATAACGTTCAGAAATTAGAAAGGAACATCTGAAATTTAAAACCAAAATATACTGAAAAATCATGAATATATATTATTATTTTTATAATATTTTATAAAAATATAAAAATATATTTTTTAGTTTCAATTTTTTTTATAAAATCAAATATAAGAGTCTATAAAATATTTACAAACATTTTTAAGGTTATTATAAAATTCTATAATTTATATTATAAATTTCATAATGTATTCTAAAGTTTATAAAATCTATTGTTGGATTTAAATAGTAAATTTTTTAGAAATTGATGGAATATAAATGAATGAAATATGGATAAATGAAATTGAAAAAATAATAAAATCATTCTTTATKAAAATTGTATAGAAACACTTTATTTTGAATTTTTATGTAAAATTGATTATTTTATGTGGAATAAATAAAATATTAATTATATTTTTTTATCATAAATAATAAATTTTTGTGCGAAATAAATAGAATGTATTTATCCATTAAAAAAAACATTTATTTAAAAATTTACATAAATTATGTTTTTCAAATAGATATTAATTAATAGTATTTTTGAAAAGTGTTGTTACAAAAATATTATTTTAAAATATAATATTATAAAAAGTTTAAAGAAAAAAATGGGAAATTTCAAAAAATGTTATTTTCAAGTGTTACTTTACAAAAATACCATACTTTTAAAATTTTTTAAAAAATGTCACTTTTGAAAATTATTATTTTTTATATTATTTATGTTTGGATTAATTATGTTCTATTAGGATTTAGTTTTGAGTGTTTAGGGAGTTTTAGGTGTCAAAATATTTTTCGGTGTTTAAAATTTTAAGATATATATTTTATAAATCTATAATTAGTGACATTTTTGTAAATGGACACTCCTAAATATATGCAAACAAAAAATGGTATTTTTGTAATTGAT